AAAATTAGGAGGTAACCTTTAGGATATAGAGCTAGACAAAAAGAGTTCTTAGGAAAAAAAAAAAAAGATTCATGAAAGGAAAAAGTGGCCTTCACAAAATTAAAAACTTTTGCTTTACAAAACACCATGTAAAAAGGATGAGAAAACAGCCACAGAGTGGGAGAAAATATTTGCAAACCACATATTCAATAAAGAACTAGTATCAAGAACATAGAAAGAACTCTCAAAACTCAACAGTGAAAAGCAAGTCGATGAGCAAACAGGAAGAAGGCGTTTTCTGCTGATGAGGAAACATGCATGAGAAATAAGCGAGAAGATGTTCGGCTTCATTAGCCGCGAGGGAAATGCAAATTAAAACCACAATAATTATCACTGTCCACCTATGTAAATGCCACCCTCCCTGCCCCCCAAAAATGTGACAGCAACAAATGCTGATGAGGGTGTTGAGAAATTGGATTATTCACACTTTGTGCGTGTGAAAACGGTTTGGCAGTTTCTTAAGAAACAGAACACGCAACTACCATACAATCCAGCTACCACACTCCTGGGAATTTATCCCAGAGAAATGAAGACTTATGTGGACGTGACGCTTGCACACAAATGTTGACAGTGGCTTTGTTAGTAATACCCAAGTCTGGAGACACCCGGATGGCCTCCAGCGGGTGATGGTTAGACGCCGTGGTACATGCACACCCTAGAAACCGTGGAGCAACGCAAGGCGACACACTCATGGACACAAACGAGCTGGATGAATCTCCAGAGAAGGATGCTGAGGGAAAGGCAAAGCCGAGCATGCAAGGTTATATACCGAATGCGTCCAGCACACGACATTCTCTAAATGACAAAACGATAGAAACAGAAGACAGGTTTGGGGTGGCCTCGGCTGGGGGGCGGTGGAGACGGGAGGTCGGAAGTGGGTTTGGAGATGAAAGGGGAACGTGAGGGATTCTCGGGGTGAAGGGAACCCTCTGTCTGGGCCGCCTGACTAACGCTAACACCCTGGTTGCGCTATCACACCACTGTCTCATGAGGCGCTGCCCCGGGAGAACCGGATGAAAGGCGCGTGGACTATCTCTGTATTATTTTTACAAAAGCATGTGACGCTACAACCACTGCAAAATAAAAAGTTTGACTAAAAAACATGAAAAAGTAAATAAAAACGCCCCACGCCGTCAAACTCGTGATGAACCACAGTGACGTCGGCATCACCAACACATTTCGAGCGTTCGTGCACTGAGGACCAAGCGGTGTGCAAACACGTGGAGCCGGCCTGGTGGGTGAGGCGCCGTTCTGCACACGAAATCCCGCCAGGCCGGGGAAAGTTAACCGTTTGCTCTTCTCCTCTTTAAATGTACAGTCACTACGGATATTATGGCCTCCGTGTATACTACCTTCCCCTGAGCTTGTTAAAGGAAGAGGTCAGCTTTACTTTCCAAACCCAAAGCTTGGCTTCCTCAGCTCTGAAAGCAGACAAAGTCAAGTCCATCGCCAAATGCCGCCCAGACACAGTCGACCTTGGCACGAGAGCCAAGGAGGGCTTTTTATTCTTCTAAGTAAAAACAAAATTTATTTTCATCAGGGTCTAGGCAAACATTCTTAACACAGGGGTTTTAAAGTATACTACTTGTACAAATAATGGCCAAAAAGGCTGATATTTTGGTAAATAATCTATATTTAAAACTATAGCGTCTACTGACATTTCTGAAAATGATATTTGGAAGAATATCCTTAATTAGATTTAAAAAAACATTTTTGGACAACTGAATGTGAGTTTTAAATAGAAAATGATCTATCCATCCACACATCCATCTCGCTCTGTACACACAAACGCACATAAGTATATATACTATCGAATGTTATTACTATGCTATATAAATCACATTCGACTTATAAAATAGTTGAGTTTGAAAGCACTTTAGAAATTACCCAAACTTTCTCATTTCATAGCTGAAGAAATTGAGCGCCACCCCACCCCATCCCCCCCCAAAAATTAAGATCCTCACTAGTCTTAGAGGAAAATTCCGAACTGGAACTTAGGACCCTCGACTCATACTGCTCTATTTCACTGTTCTCACTTCCGTAAGCAATGCGATGGACGGAAACAGAATGGAAAGTCCTCAGGCTGACTGAGGATACGGAATCACAGGTTACTTTAAACTGGGCGAAGTGAAAGTGAACACTAAATGCGGCTTTCGGAAATTAAACATGTCTTAATCCGAGCTCTTTTCACAAAGATGCTCCTTATCCTCGTTCCCTGCTAAAATGAAGGCAACCTCTCTGTACCTGAGAGGCACACAGGTCCCTCTCCAAGGACAGACTTCCCAGACTCTCGCAGCCAGCCGCTCCCAACGAGACGGACGCTTTCCCGAGCACGACCACGCTCTGCCCCGTGTGCCCTCTGCCTTAGGTCTTACGGTGACATCCTGGAACTGCAGGCGCATGGTGGAGCTGGCCGGCTGAGGCCGGCTGGTGGTCTCCAGTATTGTCCTGAGCAGGATGTCCAGCAGGCTGGCCACGATCACGTCTATCTCCTCCAGCACAGACTTTTCCTTAAGAGAAAAAAATAACAACGTGTTCGGGAAATTGTGGCTTCGTCTGTATATTAATCTCGCTTCAACAGAAAAAGCACATTTCTCGAGTTGGAGAACTCGAGAGCTCAGACAGACCTGGACCTCACCTGAGCCACCTGAGTAGATGACCATCTCTTACAGACAACGAAGGCAGGAAGAAGTTAACAGCTCACTCACAAGGACGCAACCTGGCTGTGCAATGGGGACCTGGGCTACAGGTAAAAAGGTGGGGGGCACCCTGGGAAGCACGCCAGCTATGCCACTGACACGGTGTGACCTGGGGCCGGTCACGCTGCCTCCCAGGCCTGACTCCTCCCTGCAAGTCCTCTTGGCTCTAAAAGGCTGCGATTTTGTGACCCCAGATGGCGCTTAGAATCACAGTCACGTTGCCCGGGTTACATGGGTCATTTCCCCAAACTCCATTTTAAGTGCAAATGACGAGTCCTAGAAAAAAATAATTTTTTAAAAGACTCCTACATGAAAAGATTAGCAAAACCCTTCAGTCTAGGTGACCGCCAGGAGCTAGAGACCGGGGCTCATGTCAGCGGCCGCGGTAGGGGCCACTTGGGATTCTCATTACAGCTGCCCGAGATGAAACTCTGCGTTTGAACGCTCCACGGAGATTGCTTTTGCAAGAGCAACGTCTAGAGGGTGTGAGTTTGAGAGTTTTGGGGCTGGGATTTTAGGACAAACTCTCTTACACTCATAAGAAAACTTCCAAGATTTCCTCCTCAGAGCAAGTGCTCCTCTGAATTCAGGTCAAGTCCAACCACTGACCGCGACTTCCGAACTGTGGTAGAAGGAGGTTAAAGAGTCGCCCACACTGCCCCGCGTCATCGTTTTCGGTTTTCTGCAGAGAACTCTCTCGCTTCACTGTTTACTCTGGGCAGTTAGTTTGCAGGAACATTCTAACCGGGCACAGCACAGCTGCTCCTCCTGGCGCAGACGGAACTTTAAAGCAAAACTAATGCTGTCCCCCACCGCCGCCCACTCCCAGATCAGCCTCGGGGCCTGGGGCCGTGGGGACACACAGGAATCCATCGTCCCTCCCCCACGCCAGTCGGCACTCACTGCCGGACCCTGCCTCGCAGAAGCTGGGACAGATGAGTGTAACGCTGGACTGACAGCCACAGAGTGACAGACAGGAGCAGGACATCCTTCAGAGGCAGCCTTCCCATCAGACCCCTAAGCCCTGACGTGAATGTCAGAGTCACCCCATTCATAAGCCCACGTGTGATTTTTCTCTATCTGCACTGCAACGTCTTCTGCAGTGGCATTGCTTCAAGCGTCGGGAGCACCGACGGAGACTCCCAAAGCCGCAGTGAGTTGAGAGGTTCCTGTCGGGGCCGAGTGTGGCTAGACGCCCCGGTCCCCTGGGTCTTTCCTTGGCTTTCACAGTCTCCACGGGACCAGGCGTGAGGGCCACGACCAAGCTCTGAGCAGCACCGTCGGGCAGCGTTTCACAAAACAGGCCCCCAAAGGTCTCGCTCTGCAAGCTGTAATTTATTCTTGCCACTGAGCCTTCATCATATCAAGATGAAAGACACAGGTGGGAGGCTTGGAGCATTCTAATTTTTCTAACCGAGGATTTGGTTTTTGAAATACAAGTTGAGGAAACCCAGGTTATTTGCGGTTACAGCAACCCCAGAGGTTTAAAAAAAAAAAAAAAATCCTTCAGAGGAAAAGCAAAAAGTCCAACCCAGGTGGAAACAAAAGTGAGGGTCTCGGGGGGTGACTCTCTGGTGTGGTTGCTTTGAAGACATCAAACGTTTGATTCCCAGAAGCCGCTGGATGGGAACTACACACCACGGCCTATATTTACTCACTGAGCTGTTTTTCTTGATGAGACAAAACACGTTGCTAAGGATACGCGCGCACATGATCAGGTCCTTCTGTTCCTGCAGGTGCATGTGGAGGTGATGTAACACGACAGGCAGGAGGATGTACCTGGAGTCTGGAGAGAGAGGCGGAGTTAGCGTCACCCAGCCGGTGCCACGTGGCTGCAAACGAGCCCCGCCTACTCTTTAACTGTTAAATCATTAACACGGTGGATATTGAAACACAGTAGTTCCTGTCCCCGACCCACGATCCCTTCGTCCGAGAGGCCCTGCCTCTCTTCCTGAAATCGATTTAATTTTCTCACCTCTAGAGATCTCAATGGCACGCTTCTCTCGCTATTCCTGATTTTTCACTGAGAGAGACCATCTCATTTACTGACTCCCTGCCATGGTAGATAAGATTGAGTTTATTTTTCTCTCCCCTTTTTCTTCCCAGCTTCTCGAAGGAGTTGTATCATCATTTCTGGCTAAATTAACAACTTGCGTTTGCCGCCATTCTGACTTCCAACTCTTTGGACCGATTAGATTTTTGTTCGTTGTTGTTGATCTCTCTCTGAAAGCTTTCAGAAACGTATTCCTAGTAATTCAAAACGTCACGATTACGTTCCTTGCCTTGGCCCTTTCAAGCCATAAACGCGTATCCCTCAGCTCGGAGAATTCGCCTTGAATTACTTCTGGGATTATTTCCTTCCCTTTTATGCTCTTCTGTCCTGTGCCTAGAACTTGGACCATATCCACATCATGACTCTCTTAAACTATCTTCTACTTTTCTCGAATTTTTTTAAGTCTTTTTGTGCAACTCTCTGGGCAATCTCCTTACTTTATATCCTGCCACATATTGAATCTGCAAGAGTTCCTTCTTACTTCCAAGGCCAGTGTCATGGGTGTGAGACCCGTGCAATCACGCGGGTCCCTGTGTGCATTCGCAAGGGCCCCTCACCTGGTCTAATGCTCCGCTGCTGCCATCAGGAAATTCGTAATAATTTTCACGATGCAGCCCTTCCCAGTTATTTCTGAGTGATCTCTTTCTACACCTTTCCATCCTATTTCACTAGCCTACTATTTGTCTCTCTGGGGGAAAGCAGAGGCTATTTTTTGATGCATTTATTTTCTCACTGAATTATCTTTTTCTTTCGAGTTTATTTGTTTATTTCTTCATCGTGGTCTCCATCTTTCACCTCAAAGCCTTTTTTCCCAACATCTGGTCATCTTTCATCGTCTAGTCATCTTGGCCAGTGAGGCACTAAAATGCTAACTGGAAAAATAAAACAACTCAGCCCAGGCACTCAGGGCCTGTGAGGCTTCCAGGGAGGGGCGGTACCCAGAAGTTTTATCGGGGGACCCCCCAAATTTCAGAAACTGAGATGTCTTCTCTTGGGCTGGTCAGTTTCTCTATGGAAGAAACAGCCGACCTCCTCTGTGGAGAGCATGTGCCCATCCTCTTTAGTAACTTGAAATCGAGAAAGGACGTGGCTGCCAGGCCTCTCTGTTTAATGCTGAGGCCCTGTCAGGGGTGCCTCATGCCCCAGATCAGCAGGGTCTGAGCCTCCTGCACCCAGACACAGCCCATTCAGTTTCTCCGCAGAGTAAACCTCCCACTTTTTCTGAAACAGAGGAGGGGATGGGGGCAGGGTGAGGTGGGATGCTAACCATTCCTTTTCAAGCATTTAAAGCCAATTTTCATATTTCTAGCACTCTTAATCTTCAGAGATACCTGGCATCTTCAGCTCCTGATCCTTCCCGAAGCCACTGAGGCATCTGTGGTGTTGTGCGAAGCGGTTGGCTCCTTGGCCCCCACCCACCCGACAGGCCTGCCTCTGAGTCCCCTGCTCTGCTCTCAGCTGCCACTCATCTCTGTGAAAACCGTTAACCCCTCAGAGGTGTCCCCATCTCCTCTCCCATTCTTCTGAACAGGTGAACTTAACACCTTTTCAAAAAAAATCCCCTTCCTGACTGCAGATGCAAAAACCTTTTCAAAATTTTAGCAAATCAATCCCAGCGACACAGAAGTGTGACTTCATGACCAGGTGAAGTGACTCTGTTTAACATCTGAAAAGTCACATTCGTACACCTTCCCCAGGGAAGAATGACAGTACAGTTGATTCTTGTTATTCATGGCAGTTAAGCGCTAAAAAGTTGCTGGGAACAACGAAAAGGCAAATACTGAATCATTTCTCTTAGGGGAAAGACATACACCTGTCCAGATCTCACATGCATCACAATCTTAAATCCTAAAAGCAACCCGTCCAGGTAAATTCTCTCTTTATTTTATAAGGTTCGGAAGTGTTAAGTGAATTTCCTGAGGCCGCCCCATTAACAGGGGCCAGATTTGGGATTCCAGCTGTCACCGGGCCCCCCGGCGAGAGCTCGTTACCCTGAACTGCTCCCCACCCCCACCCCTACCCCTGTCATCTCTGTACGAGGGTGCAAATGAAGGCTGAGCACTGCCTTGTTCCACCTCAGCTGGGAACGTGTGCACCCTGCAACTCAAATTTTTCGCTCCTCTGTGCACGTCCACGAACGACTGCAAAGTGCCACAAATATCAATCGGGGGTGATAAGTAAATCTGAGTAGGTGAACCCATGAATAATGAATTTTGACTGTATATGAGTCAATAACTGGAAGGCTTATATTGATCCCTAACTTGTCATGAAATAAGTATTTGAAATAGTAATGTGATACGCAGTCTAAAAACTGACTCGCACAGTGTATGCTTCAATCCTTTGGGAAAGTCACAGTAAGTATGCTCCCTGGTCCTGAGTGTTTATTACTCTGCAGGATGTCACAAGCACAAAAGTGTCGTCGCACGGCCATGGTGAGCCTCTTATTCATGACTGTGCCCCCCAGCAAATGGCCCAGCCCCTTTCCCAGCTCTGCTTCATATTCTAAACGTTGTCATCTGTGCAACAATTCAGATGGCTAATTCTTGGTTTATAAAAACCCATGTGTCTTATAAATGTTTGCATAAATCATAATTCCACTTTACTCATTCAAGAAAAGATGGATAACCTAAATAACTAACAATTAAAGAAATTAAACTTGTTAAGAACAAGAAAAATTCCAGGCCCAGATGGCTTCTATGAAGTCTATGAAGCATTTATGGAAGAAATCAGATCAAGTCTACATGAATCATCCCAGAAAATAAGATAAAGAGAATACAATTAACTCATTTTATGAGATAAGCATTTCTGATGCCAAAATTAGCCGAAGACATTACAAAATAAACTACAGATTGATACCTCTCATCAACATAGATGCAAAAATCCTTAGGACGTTTTATCGAAATCAATCTAGTTTGATATATACACACACACACACATATACATATAACGCTATCATTAAATTGAGTTTATCCTAGGAATGTAAGATTTAACAATTAAAAGTCAATCGATCAATGCGATTTGTGGTATTAGCAATAGATGTAGGAAAAAAACGTGTCAAGTTCAGCATCCATTCATGATAAAAACTGCCAAGAAGCTAAGAATAGAAGGTAATTTCTTCACACGGATAAAGGGCATTAGTGAAATGCCTATATTTAGCTAACATAATGCTTCCTAGTGAAAGATTAAATGCTTCTTCCTTAAGAGAAAAAATAAGGCAAGGATGGACAGTTTCACATGTTCGAGTCGACTCTGCCTTGGGTTCCTAGCCAGTACAGTCAGGTACATGACCAGGTAAAAGATTACCTGATTCTGTATCCTAAAGAAAATCATAAGGAACTCAAACAGGTGTCCACTGGGCAGATGCCTTTACCAGTGTTTGCCTGATTTCTGTTAGCCGTGAGGTTTGGAGTCTCCTGTTTCTGTTCATTCCTGCGGCCGAGCTGCCAGCACAAGGACATCTGGCCTCGGGTTTACCACCAGAGCGAAGCACGTTAAGTCACAGGCATTCTTCCCCTTAAGAAAATGATCGAAGAAGAGTAAAACCCAAATTTGTGCAATAATTCATTGCTGGCTTCCTTTAAACAGTGAGCCTGACCGGGGAAACCTAACACTGATTTGTAAGTCAATTGCTTGACAAAAAGAACCGGGAAAAAGAAACGGAGAGCTTGAATGACAGGAGACACCGCCTCGTGACGTTTAATTAGAAAGGAAGATAGTGCATCTGATGCGTCCCCTCGGCCATTCGATTTCTGGAAATGCATCTGCAACCGACTGTTAAGAAAACGGCTGCTGCAGAAAAGTCAGTCAGGTAGACAAATAACTAGTGTGCGGCGCATAGAAAAAGAAATACATGACCATCTAGCTGGTAGATTTGCCTTTTCTCCATTTCTGGGGCAATGTCAGCCAATGCAAATGACAGAGTCAGTGGGTAAATGCCAAACACGCTGACTGGCTAAAATGCTAATTCTCACCTTTAAAAGAAAACCCCAGGACTCGTCAACAGACTCCAAAATAAGAAAGCCCACGGGTGGGCCAACGCGACTTTTCCATATGCTTCAAAGCAGAATCGGCTGTGCAGGCTCTCTCCTGGGAGGCTCAGCACTCGCACACGGCCCATCTCAGACAGAGCTCCCTGTGCTGGGTGTCCCGCCGCGTGTGTAACGGAGCGGCGTTGGGTTCTGCTTGCACACACGTGAGTGCGAAGGGCCAGCTCCCGCTAGTAATTCCCTGCGGCTGTGCGGCTGGGAAGGAGGAGAAGCAGCTAAGGAACCTGGGGAGATTTATGCCTTGGAGTTAATTTTGAGGAACGTCATAATCTTTGCTTCCTCTATCAACTAAGCATTTCGAGGGTCCAACTAAGGACCCCCGAAGTCAGCATCTGTCCAGGAGGGAGCGAGGTCTGCACATCTTGTGGTGGCAAGCGGGGCTGCCAACCGCTCTCCAAACTCTGCGCCTCAGCGCGGGCTGGACCTCAGCGGGACACCCGGCAGCTGCTCCCCAGTCTCAGGAGGCGGAGGTTGTAAACCAGGGGTGGTCTGCAGAGCTGCCGGCTGCGGAGACGTACCAGCATGGCAGAAAAGCCGAAATCGGAGCCGGATCAGCCCTTTGTGGTCAAAACCACCAGGAACCGAACTACCAGTGTCGTAGACAGCAACAAAACCTGTGCCCAAAGCCTTCGGACCCTGGAGGACAGAACACACTCAGAGTAGAAAGGACGGCGAGTGTTTCAAGCAGACGAGGTCAGGAGCCAGAGAGAAATACCGGGAGAGGCTAAGGGCGATGCCCGTGTGCAGCTCACAGACCTCAGCCCCCAACTGACTGATGCACCTGATGCCTGCACCACGGGGAACCCTCCCCAGAGTAACGCCACGAGGAAGGCGAGGTCCCCCGAACAGGCACGTGTGTAGAGATGCTGAGAGACAGATGGCCCCTCCGGTGTGGAGCTCAGAGGAGAGATCTGGCCCAGAAACACAAAGGTGACAGCAATGGCTCACTCAGGTCTCCCTGCTCCATGGCGCCCCGTATGTGTCCCCAGCTCGACTACTGCCATCTCTTATCATAATTCCTCGTTGAAAGTCTGCTTTCATGCTAGACTGTAAGCCGACGGAAGGCAGTGTCTGTTACCTTTTCCGTTTGCTACAATATTTCTCACGTAATACCTAGAGTGGGGTCTGCCCACAATGAACATTAGTTAAATGAACGGAAAAGGAATGAGCCAAACCACGAGCTCTGCCAGACGTGAGAGGCGACAGAGGGCGCGCGACACTCCGCCTCTGGGTTTAGCTCAGATGGGAGCTGGATGCGCGTGGTCACGTCCCTTCGCATGTGTGGGCGTCCGGCCTGGACCGCCCGAGAACGCGGCTATGCCCAACACAAACCACGGCAGCCGCTTGTGGCACCGGAAACGAGACACATCCCGGCCCCGCTCCCACCCCCGAAAAATCTGCGCAAATGTGGACGAGTCGCTTGTAGGACATGAAGAGCCTCCCCCTCCCCCCCGTCATGTGCTTGCTCACGACAATCAGTGCGGGACAGCCCCGAGGCGATGCCGGACAGCAAAGGTAAGCGGGGGCCTGGGCGGCCCCGGGATGTCCATTTCCTTTCAAACGCCACAGATAAAACACAGGGTCAACTATGATTTTGGCGAGGCCTATTTTTCATCTTAAATTCTATTTTCAGAGAGGAAGATGGAAAATTGTTTTCCAAAGAAACCCCTTTCCAAGTACTTCTCCAAAAAGCTTCACGGTTCCTAACGTGGTTTTAACCAATATATACCTTAAAAAAAATAAAAAAAGACAGCATGCGGGCAAATCCTCACCCCTGTCCCGTCTGCCCCGACAATGCGGTGCCCGTGGCTGCAGCGAGCGTTGAAGATGCCCCCGCTGCTTCAGCGAGGAAGCGGCCAGAAGCCCGGGCTGCGGGGTGGCCTCTGGAACCCACAAAAGGCAGGGGACCGGGTTCTCCCCTGGACGCCCCACAAGGGGACGCAGCTCCGCTGGCACCGGTGACAAGCATTTTGAGTCTGTGCCCCACAGAACTGTGAGACGTGGAGTGTGCAGCGCTCGGCGGACGGCAGCTGGAACCTGTTCCTGCGATTCTGCGCGTCCCGCCGTGCCCGTGGCCACGCAGCTCCACGCTCCAGTTAGGCCCAAGCTGCCTGTTCTCACGAGCTGCGCCACAGCCCTGGTTGCGAGTCACGCTGTCCCCTTAGCCACGGGCTGGGACATCCTGCCCTGTTCTCTGACACCATCTGCGGAGCCTGCCACTTGCATGGCACGTCTCCTCTTCCTTCCGACACCCCATCTTCCAAGTAGACAGCTGCGCCCCATCATCCATGGCTCAGAGGGGCAGCGTGTAAAAACCTCTCCGAGAAATACCGTTTCTCCGGGATGAGGTGGGTTTTTATGGGGAGAAATGAGAAGGTGGAACTTACTTTTATACTATTGGAAACATTATTTCAGAAAATAAAAAAAACTGACGGTCCATCACCAGAAAAAAATATAAACCATGATAAATTCACTCAATGGAATACTTTACAACAGTAAGAAAATGAAAGAACGGTAGCTACATCTAGTGTAGCATGGATAAGTACGACGGTATAATTTTAGCCAAAAAAGCACTCTGCAGAATGACACACAACGTAATGTCACATGAAGACTAAAAGATGAAAAAACACTATGTTTTCATATCTATATAATAAAGGCACAGAAGACAGGAATGGAAGTCTCAGAGAGTGGAATTTCTCTGAAGGAAATGAATATACACAGTAGACCTGGGTGTAGCTATAATGACGAATTTCTAAATAAAAGACCTAAAGCAAATACTTGATATTGTTAAGATTTGTTAATGATTTACTCACATGTTCTATTCTTGTCTGTATGTCTAAAATGTTTTACAATAAAAGAATGAGAAAAAAGGTTTGTTTACCATATTTGAAACCCTATCTCAAACGTACTATACACACGTATGCATGCATTCATATGGATAATTCTCAATAGAATAATTTTTTTTATATTTTATAATACTGATAGAAACTTCTTAAACTCTATGAGATTATATTTAATCTCAGGAAAAACTAGAAGAAAACAAGAGGCAATGGGATTTAATAAGAGATACGACAAAATCAATTTAGTAACTGCTAACTTAGTCATTTCCATTAGCATAAAATAAAAAAGAACAATCCATCAAAACCTTCACCCAGTTTCAGAGCACAAATTGACAGAAATCGTTTAAGAGAAAAACAAGGATCAAATCAGGCCCCTGTAAGCATCTCTGGACGAAAACGCTAAGTTTTGTCGAACATAAAAAGAAATAAAATCTGTAACGAGAAAGCACGTCCTACACCACAACTAGTTGTGATTAGGTCATAATTTAATCGTTAGGGTTTTCATTCTCTCTAGAAATAAAGTTTCAATAGCCATGTTTTTGTACTGGGCCACTTGAGAACTTTATTCTACCATCCAAGCACACGAGGCTTTGGAGAAAGCAGTTTCCGGTCTCCTTCCTGGAACTGCTTCTGCGGCCCCGAGGCAGGGAGACGTGGCACCCACCTGGGTTGGTGTAGAGCTGGCTTTCCACCGTTTTGCTGATGCACTGCAGTTTCACGGCCTGCAGCGCGTCGTCCACGTGCATGATGGCCGGCAGGCTGCCCAGAGTGTCCTGGACCACGTTGGCCACCTCTCGGACATCAAAGAGCTTCAGCAGCTCTGAGTACACGGCGGGGAAGGAGCTCAGAAACACGGCCTGCAGAGAAAGCAGTTTACGTCAGCTCCCAGGTGTGCCCTGAGAAATGCACTGTGAACTGTAAGTGTGAAGCTGTGATACCTTTTTGAGCGATAGGAAAACCAATGTCAAATATGTCTGGTACCTAAAGCTAAAAGGCTTGCGTTTTTTAAAAAAAAAAAAAGTGTAGCAAAAGAGGACAATTTGTTGAAACGTGCCAAGGTGTAACATAATAAAAACTGGGAAATTTGGAAAATCACTGACATTAGCAAAGTGAATGCCAAAAAACTCCACGGAATCAGCAGATTTGCTGCAGGATCGAATGCTCGACGAGCCCAGGAACGTCCACAGCCATGTTTCGTTTCTTTTTTTGGAGAAGCTTTCTGAAGTTCTCATTTAAATCTCATTTACCCTTAAAAACCAAACACATTAATTCCCTAAAGCAATTTACGATTAAAGGGGAAAAAAAAATAAAAACCAGGGCAGGGCATGAGAAGACCTAAATTATACACAGTACTTGCTTGGCCTATAACAAGTCATTTTAGCCCCCTAGATTTCAGTTTCGTTATCTGTAAAAGGAAAAGATCATTAGAACAACCCCTTGGGTTGCTTCAAGATTGTAACCCCAGAACCGTGTGTACTAAGAAAAATATTCATGATGTAAAGAAAGAAACCTGATAATCATTTTTCAAAGAAAAAAAAAAAGATGCTATTATCGAGTCCTAAGGGACACGCTTCAAGTATGGGCTAGGACCACATCAAAACAAACAAGGTCTTTAAAATTCCTCAGAGAGAGAGCAGGGGAAGGGGAGGTCGCCAGCCCTGGCTCTGCTTCAGCGGGGCAGGGGACCGTGTTCCCAGCTTGCCGAGACCGAGGGGCTGGCTGGTTCGCCCATGACATCCGACCCTGCTGAGAGCAGGCCGAGTCTACATGTGCTGACAATTCAAACCCGGAATCAAATTCACATTCATAGATTTTGGTATTTATCGATATAGCTGCAGCAAAAATATCTAGAAGAGCCAAGACCTGTTTTTGATGCTAGAATCATCCATAAGCTTAAGGTGCTATATTCTTTTTGAATCTTAAAAACGATAGATTTACTGGAATGAATTTAAAATTAATAACTTGGTATTCACTGTTAAAAACTATATTTATGTAACCTTCATTTCACTCTGCACAGAGTTGAGTCAATACAGATCAAGTTACAAAAAAAAAAAATGATCCCAGCTTTCGGATTACTGAAAAGTCAACTAAATCGATTTTCCTCAGGAATCCATTAATTTATCCATGAATTCTTTATTTATACCTTTTCAAAAAAAAAAAAAAGGCATTCAAATGCCTCTGCAGTATGCGATACACATATTAAAAAAGATAAAGGAACACACATCTCATGATGAGGGCCGAGAGACAGCTGTACCGGAATATCTAAGCTGAAGAATGTTACTGGGGGAGAAAACACGTTCCATTTCATTTTGACCTTCCTGACAGCAACGAAAAAAAGAGAGAGATAATTATTCGGGATTTGGGGCGGGTTTTGGGCCTCAACGCCTCCTGTCATTCCTCTTCCTCTCTTGGAGTTCCCGGGGTGTGGACTTGTCCCTGGATGGGAAACCAGGGGTCACTGCCACAACGGCTAAGTCCCCTGTGGTCCTGCTGGGGGTGGGGGGCGGGGAGGGTGGGCTCCACAAGACAGAGGCGCTAGTGAGCGGGGCCTGGGCCAGGGGGACTCAACGAGCCTCCCACCGGGGCCAGGATGGCCAGATCTGTAGGACAACTGTCCACTGAGCCAGCACAAAGATGGCTAGGATGGCCGTTCTGCTTCCAGGACAGGGAATTTGCCCTGAGTCAGACTTCCCACGTGGAAATGATGTGAAATGCAGCAAGGAAGCCGGGTTCTGCCTTGAAGGCAGCCCACGAGCACAGTGCCGCAGGGGACAGTCCCGGCCCTGGGCGTGGCCGGCGGAACCCTAAGGCAAACCTCACGGCCTCGGCCTCGGTTCCCTGGTGCTGTCCCCACATTTACATTATGATACAAGGCAAAAAGGATTCCGCAGCCACAATGAAGGTTACTGACGAGCTCATCTCAAAACACGGGGATTACCCAGACGGGCCTGGCAGAATCACATGAGCCCGTAAAACAAGTTTTCTCTGGCTCAGAGATGAAAGATCGATATACCATTGCTGGTTTTGAGAAGGGAGGCCACCTACCAAGGAGGGCCAGTGGTCTCTAGAAGCCGAGAGGACCCTTCTCCTGCCCCAACCCTGGCTGGTAGCCGCAGGGAAATGTATCAGTCTTACGAACAGAAGGAAACTGGTTTCTTCCAGAAGCCTGAAAAATCTTGAAAGTGGATTCTTCCCCAGAGCCCCCAGATAGGCCACGAAAGCCAACGCCTTGATTTTGGGGGTAGGAGACCCTAAAAAAAAAGTCCGCCATGCCTTTGGACCTGCAGGACTGTGAGCTAATAAGCGGGTGCCACTTAAAGCCATCAAGCATGAGGTCATTTGTTATGTGGCACAGGAAAAGCGACACATGGAGTCAGTGTGAATGTGTGGGGTCGGAGAGGCGTGTGACATTCCCCCTCCCCCCAAAACAGAGGGGGACAAAGTCCCTCGTTGCTTAATAAAGCAAACGAGCCCCTTCATTATTTCACATGAACTTTCTCTTAGCACCAAAACTAAAATAGAATTAGCGCATCGAAACGCACAGGCGTGGGACACTGCACGCACTGAGAGAGGGTGACTGCAGGCGAGCTGACAAAGATGCTCGGGAACTGGACGTGCACACTTTACACATCCCCTCTCAGCGAAGAGTGAGGGGCAAGAAAGGAAGAAGCGAACGCGATTCTGTGAAGGTGCTCAAGTTGTCAAGTTGTGCACTGTCTCGGCTGAGGAACAGGACTCAGAATCAAGGTGATCTGTGAGCAGATAGAAGAAGACCTGCTCTGTGCCCTGGCGGACCCACGGCAGCTCGCGTCACCCCGGGGAGACGGCCGGGATTCTGTGGAAACACGACCATGGGGGGGGAAAAAAAAGGAAAAACAAACAAACACACACAAAAACGTTTCTTGACTTTCAAAGAAGAAAAAAATCTCAAGTCCCTAGGAAGGGAAGGCGTCTCATTGAGAAACCACGACTTAAGGTTACTCTCAAAAGAAAAAGAAGGTTTTTCAGATGTGAATTAGGTTAAGTTTTGTCCCTGGAACGGGCAAAGGTTGAAAAAGAAAGATACTGAAGTGAGAACTCGAACGCTGAACAGCTTCTGTGAACGTGGTGAAGTCCTGAGAACGGTGACTTGCAGGGACACTCGAACAGCCCGCCGGGCTGCCCTTCTCGAGTCTGAAAGGAGGGTGGGCTCGTGGGCAAATGGACACGGAGGTCTCTGGCAAGTCACTCAAGTGCAGGGGTCGACCCAGTGACAACAGAGGCCAGAGGGCTATTAAAAGAGCCCGAACCGTATCTTCGCCCGGAGGCGAGATCAGGCTTCTGGAAAGAGGAGAGTGACAAGGGGAGCCCCCTCCACCCCCCCACCACCCCGGTCAGCAAAGGGAGGGCTGGCCTGTTGCTGGCGTTTGGCCAGCATCGCGAGTGCTTCCAAATGTCACCGGGCACCAAGTTAACAAAACTCTGAGGGACCTAGTTTCATCCTCCTATCTCCCATCTTACGCCCCAATTCTCGACACTTAGAAGTTTCTAGTCTTCGGGGCTGGTCGCAAAGAGGGTGCTTCTCAGTCTGACTTGTAACGACTTGTAACCAAGTCGTTAGGATTCAATGAATATAGGAAGGATGAAGAAACGTAGAGAAAGATAAATAGAATTCTCTCTCAGAACCCGTGCTGTTTGGAAGGCGGATGAATCCCGTTCTTAGACGAAACGTGTCATACGAGGTCGGCGCCAGGACAGTGAGGATGACGTCAGATGACGCGGCTCCAGGCCTGGGAAAACGACTCCGGCCATCGGCCGTGTGAGACCGTGGAATCTCCTCTGCGCGGCGGGCGGTGACGGTGACAGTGAGTCGCATCAGCGGCACGTGTGCCAGGAACGGGACCTGGCCTGACCTGGCACACCCACGGGCGTCTACTCGGGGTGAGGGCAGTCTCGGCGGGCACCCGGGCCTGGGGACCGAGGCTTTTTGGGGGGTTTCCTTTGGGTTAAGTCTATTCACACAGTCAGTGAAGCTACAAGTACACGCTGTGCTCATTTTTCTCCTGTTGGACGGCGATGAAGAAAACTCACCTGGGACTGAGAAAGCGCCCCCGACCCCTTGCTCTCCTGGGACAGGAAGAAGCGGACGGACATGAGCAGCTCCTGGATGCAGCAGCGGAACTCGTCTTCGTTCTGCCCGCCCGTGGCCAGGGAGAAGAGCCGCCGCGACTGAACTATGTACTTGAAGATGTACTCCTGCGCCTGTAACAAACGAAAACGCAACTTCGCTGTCATTCTCCAGACAGAGAAACACTGTTTCTATCCTCGGAGGTCTCGAATTTTAGTCAACAAGAGAACCTGGTTTTCCAAAATGATTTTGCTTTGCCCGTAAACACCCTTGCCAGTATTTTACCTTCGGTCAGACCAAAAGGATGCATTTATGAGGAACAGAATGCGTACTTGGCTGCTTTCATGTGCTGACGGAGCGGAGGGTGGCATGCAACGATGGGAATGAGGGTGGCATGCAACGACGGGAATGAGGGTGGCATGCAACGACGGGAATGAGATGGGCGGGGCTGTACTGGACAGTCCCTTTAAGAATCGCACCCCTTGAAGATGCTTGCGAGTAAGGTGTTAGCATCTCCGTGTACGACCGAGCACACAGGGCACAGAGGTGGGGACACTTAAACCACGAGACCCAGTGAAACTACAGGCTTCCTCATTAGGACCCCTGCTAAGCCACCCAATTCTCTCTGAAAATTTAGGGCAAAAAGTTCGAGACGGGCTCTGCCAGGTGCCAGAAGCAGAGCCACGAACGGCCAGGCTTTGCCGCCCACCCGCAGTCTTCTCCCTCCTGCCATTGCTAGACGTCGCTTCAGGGGTCACGGAGCCCAGAGCAGTGAGGGGCCCCCCCACCCTGAGCAGGCTCCGCCGGGCGGGCCTGGCAAAGCCCCTCTCGTGCCGTCATCAGCGGGAGCAGCGTGAAGTGAGAAAGCTTCTAGAACCGTAAGGTCAGCAGCAGACCCTGCCCGCCCCGCCCCCCGGGAGGGGAGCCGCCCGCTCGGCCGCCCGCTCGGCCCCGTGGGCCGCGCTGGTACCTTCAGCACCTCCTGGATGTGCTCCTGCCGCTCCACCTCCGTTATCCTGTCCACGTACCACTTGAGCACCTTGATGAGGTCCCTAAAACGCGGGAGGAAAGTGCAGAAGGGACAGCTGGTCTCATTCGCAAGTCAACGCCCACGCGTTGCTGAGCTGGGCCACGTGGAGGCTGCTCTTCCCATCAGCGGCCACCTTTGCCCGTCCCAACTTGACACAGTCTTCATATTCGCACCACTACCCCTTCCCGAAGCTGGAGAGAGGATGCGACCCCCCTCCACCGGACATAACCCGTGGGCCCTGCTGCTCTAGAAACGCTTCCGAACGGGTGAAGGCAGATATCAGGGCAAAGGACGCTGGCCGAGGGACGGCCTGGCCGCATCGTGGACAACTGCCACCTGCGATTCCGCCCCCAGCGACCATGGAAACAGCTGCGCGAAATACTCTGCCGGAGGAAAAGGGGTCCGGGAAGGATGAAGGCAGCACACGCCCCACTGCAGACCGCACGCCCCGGATTCGTCGAGCCAGTTCTCCGGCCCGTGGGGAGAGCAAGCCTTCAGGGCAGTGTGCCGCCTTAGGAGACGCTCCAGGAAAGCCGGGCTTTGTTTTCTTAAAACGCAGAAGTTGAATGAACACTCCCCGCCTCCCACAGCAATTCTCAGGTCTGCGCCCGGCCATGCTCCCTTTAGCTTTGGTGGGCTCTTGGTTCCCAGGACCCAGAGCCATGCTCTACAAAGCCCCGCTTCCTCTCGGCCAGGGGAGAACACGCGGGGGGCCAGCAGGGGGCGCTGCTGAGAGCGCCATTCTGAAGACTGTGTGGGTGAGTTTCTGCCCACCCACGGCCGGAGCCCATCCCGCCGGCCTTCTCTGGCTGTGAGGACCGATTACGCCAGCCTGAAACGTTAGACACCCTTGCTGTTCTAGCTTCCCACTGACGATTTCATCCAGAAGCAGCGACCCCCTCACGCCAGGGCCCACACTGTAGGCCGAGTGGCTGGACTGGACCCACAGTCAAAGCTACCCCAGCTGTTCCATTGTACCCTCTGCAAAAATCACACTGACGGAGGTTCAGGTCTCGCAGAAATAACTCACGCGTTTAAAGGCTGCAGGCATACATTTTAACATGCCCTCATAGGGGAGGCCCACATTAACGGGGTCAAATGTTCCCCTAATGGCCACCTTTTACATATCCCACAGATGGGATATGTATGGGATATACATCCCAGACTCTGGGGGGTGGGGCGGGGGTGGGGGGAGGCTAAACCCTGATTGATTTCACGCTCTTTTAACAGATCTCTGGGATCAGATGATCGTGCACGTACGTATCCATAGGGCCTTAAGGTATGAGGTGGAAACATAGGCAGAATAGCGGGGACAATAATGGAATATTGGGGTACATTTCAGGGCTGCATTTAGCAGAGCCCAAGACCGAGAAAATGTACAGGACAGAAAGAAGGAAGCTGGTTGACTTCTGGCAATTATCAGCTGGGCTGCATGGAGACAGGGACCAGCTAAAGCACGTCTTATTCACTCACTCAGGCATCGCCTGCACAATCTCAGCTGACGGGAAGGGATGAGCAGTTAGAACGGCCGCCGGGATCAAGGGTAGAGTCCAGTGACCACATGTGGCCAGGGCCCAGGTCTTCACGTTATCGGCACATATAGTGCCTGGCAGGCAGTAGGCACTCAGTAAACGTTAACAGAAAAATGAATGGATGACTTTAAAAAGCTACGATGGCAAAGGCTGCTTTTCCCTTCATCGTTCTTTCTTAAAGACACCTACGACCGTCGAGGAGTGAGGTGATTAAATGGGGCGATTGGCAGCCGAGGCGAAATGATGACATTTCAGACCAGAGATTATCAAGTGAAACAGAGACGAGGAGAAAACATGCTCCGTTTTAGGTTTCAAGGTAGGAATCAGGAAGTTCTCTCTTCATTCTTTTGATCGAGATAAATTCTAGCCATTCAGAAAAGGCGTGGAAGAAAGGGAGATGCATCTCAAGAGCCACTTCAGTGGCTGTGCTTAATTTCCTCGTACGCTCCTTTCTAAATTTTCCTATGCAGCTGGTTCTGCTTAGAAACGCTCCGAAGAAACCGCTTCTAAACCAATTACAAGAGAAGGGCCTTACCTGTACGCCAGAGCCCCGGCGAAATGGCTCTCAATGTAAGTGTCCATTACGGGTTTAAAATGATGAAATTTGCTATCCTGCAGCAGATTTATTATGTGAACCTAAAAAGAGAATTGAGCTTTATAAAACCGAAGGCAAACCAAGATTTTTTCGTTGTTGTTCTTTTCAAGCGAACTCTCATGCTAAGGTGCACATTTCTGAAACTGCCTGAGGGGAGCCAAGATTGAGAGAGAAACTGGTGAGGAGATAATTAAAACGAATTTAAACTCACCAAAGAATCAAACACTTTAGATCCATACTTTTGAGAATTTTCATCTAAAATTCCAAATAAGGTATCCAGTGTATCCTGCAGAAACTGCGAGATAAAGAAGTCAATGGACCCGTAACATGTCGTCTGTCCGTCCCCTGCAAATATTCTTTATCCCACGAATTTCTGAGAGAGGGAGAGTGCAACGGCAAATACCTTTACTATCTCTGAGCCATCGATTTCTTTTAACTTGGAGAGACAGCCTGTGATCTTGTCCGGGTGGGTTCTCCATTTCAAAAGATCCAGCATATCGCCTTTCCAAACAGAAAAGAAAATCGATCTTAATGGAGAGCAGACTTTCACAGCGACGTGTTCTCCCAGCTGCACGTGCTGCTCCCCTGCCCGGCCACCCACAGCGGAAGCCCCCGCAGACAACGCTCGGCCCTCCCAGATTTGTTCCAGTGGATTCTAGTCTCACTTCCCAGTGCTCTCGACTTATAAACTCCTACTCGGCTTTCGGGTCTCGGGTGAGCTGCCGCTTCCCCCAGGAGCTTTTCCTGAAATCTCCAGACTGAGCCGATTGCCTGTCCTGTGTGCTCCCACCTGGCAGCAGTGACAGCTGGTCTATGCCCCCACTAGACCGGACACTCCAAGACAACCAGCCCGCGCCGGGCGTGGCCCTGTCACATTGCCAGTGCCCAGAGCAGAGCAGGCAGCTCACAAATATCTGTGCAATAATTTTCTGCCTCCTGCCAATAAAATGGGAGTCTCCTGCGGACTGGGAACCTGCGCTACTCGTATTTGAGGCCGCCGTGCGTGGCGCCTAAATGCCAATTCCGCCCAGCGGGGAAAGTCTCCACGATGTGACCTGCACCTGGCAGGACCAGAAGGTTCCTCCACGACGGTGACAAGCCCAGGTAAGGGTCAGATCATCGGGTCTGAGGGCCAGTTCCTTAACTCCATGGCTGTCTTCCGTCCCAGACTCTGGGCAAGCTCAGGGCCCAGCGCTTCAATGTCTTTCCCTTCCTAAGCGGACAGCACGTGGGCCTTCAACTGCTGAGGGACAGGAGGGGACCTAGCCCTCCTGCAGGGGGCAGGGGACCCAGGGGGCTGGCCTCCCAGTGCTCAGAGGGCCTGAGAGACCAGACAGGCCCAGAAGAGAGGAGGGGGGGCTTCCCAGCTTCACAAGGCGAAATCGCTTCAAAGCGCATGATTCAGGAGAAGCCCAAAAGGGACTTGCTGAGAGACAGAAAGACCGACATGGAAACAAAACCCCAAAATGTAAAAAAAACAAAGAAATCAAGGAAGTGGTTATGATAAGAAAGGAAATATGTAGTAAATAGAGATAGAAAAAAGAAAAAAGAAAAAAAAAAACCAGGAGAAAGGAGAAGCAACCTCCACCCACGCCAGATTCGAGAGAGAAACTTCACAAAGGACTTAATCGTAAGAAATGTAGTCACAGGCACATTTACCCACAACAAAGAGGGACACGAGGAGGAGGAGGATTTAGAATTAGAACAAGAAGGGACCGTCAGAAATACTGACTTTGAAAAAGAGACGTGATATTTTCATAACGGGAAAACCTGAACATGTTGAGTATTCACATCTGGCTCAGGTATGACTGAGACCTTTAGAAAGGGCTGGTTATATTCAGAACATCCGCCGTTTCCACAGGGAGCCCGGCTTGCTGACTCCCCCCCTCCACCTACTTCCTGCTTCCTGCACCCTACTTCCGGATGTCTCCCTCCCTGGCCATCTCCTCTGTGATCCCCAATGCATTTCCCCCTCATTCGCGCTCCACTTTCCACTCCACCGCCATCTCCTTGCCCTCGTCCCCTAAGGCCACAGGGGCAGCCAGGGCACTGCCCAGGGCAAGGAGTGGAGAGTGTACAGAGGAAAGTGGCTCTGCTGGTGACATCGAGTGACATCGGCAGAGGCCGCAGTGGGAAACCAGGTACAGGACTCTCATCAGCAGAGCTGGGAAATGGACGACAGTGGTCCAGACAGATCGGGATGGGACTGCTCATCTTTCCTGCACGACGTCTCGTGCATCTCTAGACGGCTCGCTAGGGAGCGAAAGGGAGAGTAAAGTCCTTGGTCCGTCTGGACGTAACTGGTCACGCATGCCAACGACGCGGAGGCGAGTCAACATTGTCATCTCTAGGTCTCCATTTTAGCCATTTGAAGCTGCATTAGTTGCAGATCAGGTGCCAAGACCTACTACTGAAAGTGTGAATTTTAGACACTCTATTCAATAAGCACTTAAGTGTACACTGTCCGCCTAACCTGCACAGAGCTGTGGATGACATGATCCCTACTCTTTTTTAAAAAAAAACACAATCTCAGGAAGAAATTGAATGAGCCACGCATTACCAGGAGAGAAGGGAATTTGGGGAAGTCAGTAAGTGTACAATTGTTACACTAAATTTTAGTCTTTTTTAAAAATTTTTTCTTAACTTTTTAAAAACTTGTGCTTAATAGCCCAAAGAAGCTAACAAAAAAGTAACATAATTTCTTCCCTGATTCCTACTCTTAAGAAGCTTAAAATATCTGCTGGGTCTGGCAATCCCAGGGGTCTAGCAGAGTGCTGTGGCCTTGGTACGCTACACATGAATGATGCTGGATACTGGGTGACATCAAGTGACATCGGCAGACAGACACACTTTGGGAATCCTGATATGCAAATCTGCTCTAGGAAACGGTTCCTGGAGACCACATCGCTTACTAAATGCCCAACTGAGATGAAATGAGATTTGCATATTTTCCAAGTTGAGCAAAATGAATACAAAGCAATTTAATTCCAATTTGGAACTAGATTACTTCTACACAGAGATGTGTGTCTAGCATGCAAATTACAGGAAAATCAACTAACTTCCTCCTTCCCGTCTCTTTGAAGCACACCATCCATCTCCTGGCTCATTTTTAAGCTGTCTTACGAGGACAGGGTTAACCCAAGTCAAACTGATACCTAAGCATTTACCAGGCTCTAGAAATGACCCACCCATTGCTGTCATACAGCGAGGTGTTTAACATAATGATTTCACAAACAGATTATTTACCATATGTACTTGAAAATGTTTTCTCTGCTTTTTATAAAGTAGCAACTTCTAATTTTCAGGATTTGGTCCTCTCTGTTTTACGTTCATAGTCTAACCTCCTAAACCCAAAAACTAAAACAAATTAAGGATGTAGGACTAAACATTTTTAATGGCAGATAATCTATTGTTAATCTTATCTGTGTGACTGGCAGAATAATGGTCCCCACAGGTGTCCATGTCCTAATCACTGGTACGTGTGAATGTGTTTACTGAACATGGCAAAAGAGATTTTACAGACATGATTAAGTTAAAGATCTTAAAATATGGAGATTAGCCTGGTTGGCCAGTGGGGCCGATGTCATCTTGACGAGGGCCCTTAAAAGATGGAAGATGATCGAAGTCAGAGACATCTGAAGATACTGCGCTGATGGCTTTGAAGAGGGAGGAGCAGCCATGAGCGAGGAAATGCAGGCGGCTCCTAGAAGCTAGCAAAGGTAAGCGAAAGGGTTCGCCCCTGGAGATCCCAGAAGAAAAGCAGCCCTTGATTTTAGCCCAGTGACATTGACTTCGGACTTGTGACCTCCAGAATTGTAAAGTAATACGTTTTTGCTGTTTTAAGCAATAAGTTTATAGTTATTGTTAAAGCAGCAAGAGATAAACTAATAAACCTGAAATTATTCTCTTTGAGGCGATCAGTGATATGTGAACCTTGGCTCTGTAACAGACACACAACTAATCCGCAGAGGATGAATAAAAATTCTAAGGGAGTCGATAAGAGGTTGATTCGATTACCTTCACAACCTCCATGGGGGTAGATGGGCCCCAGAAAAATTACCTGAGATTTGGTAAATGCTTGACAATCATTACAGAGTTATGCCAATGAAGGGCTTACTTAAGTGAAATCATTAATCACTGAGTATCGATACACTCTGGTATAACTTGACCTCTCTTAACTCTGTGATAGCTACCTTCAATCAAATTTGCTAAAAACAAATCATGCAGCTGATTTTTAAAAATACTTCTCCAAAATACTTCCAAAACTAATATAAATGGGAAAGAATCACTTGCCAAGGTCCTACATAAAATATAGCAAAGTAGCATTGCACGAGAATTTGAGACATATCTTAAAAGCGGTCAGTATTAAAATGCTACCTTTTGCTTCTTGCCCGATGCCACATTCTAAGAGACGAAGTATATGTCCTACTACAAATGTGTTCTATGACACAGAAGAATTAGTAGCACTTACAAATGCTGAGGCGCAAGAGCATTTTACGAGACACGGTACTTATTACGAAGTGATTCTCTTCAACATGATGGATCTGACTTTTAATACGGCATTTGGGCTGCTTAGCCAGAAGCTTTATATGGCAACCTTTATGTGAAGGACTCAAGCACATTTAATTTACTTCCTCTATTACAATGTTTTCATGACAGTCTGCCAAGGAGAAGAGCTTGCTTTATTAATCATAACTTGCTAAACAATCACTGACATAACAAAAAGGCGGGGGGGATGCTAGAAAAGAAAAGCAGTATCCATCTAATCAAACAAAAAACAGTCTTTATTCTAAAACCTGCAATTAGCACTGTTTATGGAGCTATAAAACCAGAGAGATGAAAGCAGTGCTGTTTTTTGTCTTTTATCCTTTTTTTTTTTTTTTTTTTTTTAAGCAGCTGGGTTTGGAGGGGCGATTTGAATAGTTTGGGGGAATCATGAAGTCCTTAAACCACATACATGTGACAGATCACTGGAGCAAGACTATTGCCATTTACCGCAAATCACACACAGAAGAACCAACGATTTCTCCGGTGCAGAGTTCTTAACTATAACAGCACTGGTGTTTATTGAATACGCCTACCAAAATGCACAAGCTCTTCTACGACGAGGCCTTTCAAATAAAAGAGTGCTGCACCTTACCATTTTGTGTGAGTTTTGTGGAACAGAGAAAAGACGTTATCCAGAAAGACTCCTTCGTGGCCTTCGTGGCTTGGTTGTTATTCCCAAGGAAAACGCCCTTGGAAAAGGGAAGTGAGAGGTAGCGCGTGGCATCCTGAAGGTTTGTGTTTTCTTCACACTGTTAAGAATATTAAAGGAGAGGGCTCGTGAGAATTATTAAGCATATTTCCAGTTCTAGTGTTTATGAACTGGAAACGGTCCAAACGGCATTACAAATAGAATTGGGCTTTAAGTAAAATGCAACAGAAATGTATAAAAGAAAGGAAGCACAGATTTTGAACTTGGACCGACCTGGGTTTGACTCCCAGCTCCGCCACCTCCCACACGAGTAACTGTTACCACGTGACTCAGCCACTCGGGACTTGCGTTTCTCTCTGAAACCTCCCTGTGCTGTCATGGGAACGAGAGACTACGTGAAGCCTTCAACACAGTGCCGGACACCGTGGCGCTGCTCGAGAAGTCACATCTGCAGGGACCACAGCATTTTTTAAAAGATGCTTAAATTCTTTCAACATCCCACGAGGGAGAGCTATTCAACAACTCCTTACTTTGAAGACTGGCAACTAAAAGAAACAGAATTGCAGGGTAACCTAACGGTCCCACTATATGATGGAAATCTCAATGTCACCGAAAATGCCAGCTAACAAATGTAAAAAGAATTACAGATTTAAAAAAAAAACAAAAATCAAAAAAACCTATTTTCATATCCCTAACGTAATTCTTTCTTTAGTTAAAGACCGTCATTTAGTGCTAACGCCAGCAGGACACTGTTGATGAGGACGCTGGACATGCAGGATGCTAGTGGAGCGACACGCGGGTTCTTTTCTACAGGCGGGAGGACAGACGGCCGGCACGTGGCGAGGTCGCCTGTCATCAGGCCACTTCAGGGCAGTGCAAAGAGCGACGTCAGGCACTACGCGCATTCTCACCAAAGATGCTGAACGGGAGTCTGTCACACCTACAGATCCCACGGGCACCTCACAGGAAATACCAGAGACGCCCAGCAGGCTGAGCACCCTCTGGGGGAGCCACCAGACGAGCCCAGAAGGCGGCTCTCTCTGCGGGATGCCTGGCTTTGTCTCCTCAAGTTGAGTGTGGGGAACAAAGGGACTGTTCTAGATAAACAACACTTAAGAGGTAGATGGGCAGAGGTGACATATGGCCCCAGATTTAAACAAATCTGTTAAAAGGTTTTTTTTTTAGATTTATACATTGAATAAGGTCTAGATGAGCTAAAAATTTAGTGACCAGAAAAATCATTAACTGAAAAAGTAGTTAAAAAATATGTATCTACATAATAAAGCAACCACGTTGTCCTTCAGTAGATAGATGAATAAACTGTGGTCCATCTAGACAATGGATATTATTCAGCGTCAAAAAGAAACGCGCTATCAAGCCATGAAAAGACCCGGAGGAGCCTTGAATGCACGTTCCTGAGAGCAGCCAGCCTGAGAACGCTGCGCACTGTGTGACTCCAACCACCCAACACTTTGGAGAAGGCAGAACGATGGCAACGGCCAAAAAGATCAGCGGTTGCCAGGGGTTGGGGGGCAGGAGGGACGGGCGGAGCACGGAGGATTTGGGGGGAGGCGGAACACTCTGTATGGCAGTATAACGGACGCACGTCATAACACACGTGTCTGAACCCACACCATGTCCGACACCAAGGCTGAACCCCAACGTAAACCATGGGCTTTGGGTGATAATGGCATGAAAAAAAAAAAAAAATTACCCATCTGGTGGGGGATGTTGATCGTGGGGGAGGTGACACAGGAACTTCTGTACTTTCCCATTTGACCGTAAACCTAAAACTGCTCTAAAAATACGCATATCATGTAATACCATTGGAGTAAAAAAGTACAGAGAAACATCTAGAAGGATATCCGCTAAGGGAGGAACAGTCACGTTATCTGGGTAATGAGGGTGTGCTATTTTAATTTGATTTTGAATTACCTTTATGCTGTTTTTATAATGAATAAAGGTTATTTTAAATTAAAATTTTGAGAAAAAACACTGTGACAGATATAGAGATTGTATAACTCAGATTACTTTGTGTGTGAATTTTAAAACTCATAGGAACTTTATTTCTTCAAATTTGTTCAAGTATTTTCAAGGCTAGTGCCCTAAGAACAGGCAGGAGTTTAAGGACAGAATCCCTTTGGTATTCTAGGGCACTTTGTGTGATTCACAAAATACGTTTAAACATTTTTAAAGAATAAATCTTTAAGAAAGACCTAACAAGTTCAGAACAAAGAACTGGCGCATTACGAGATGTTCTTGCTAGCACACCTGCCCAGTCACAGGGCTACCAATGAACACAACAGACAAACTCCATAATTCTCTTCTAACGCTACAACTCCAAACGTTCTCTCTTATTACTGCAAGATATTTCACATAGACAGAGAGTGCATGACACCCTGCGTTACTGTCCCCTCCCCTCGGTCTGGTCCTTGGGACACAGCCAGTCACGCGTCTCACGCTGACCCCATCTGCAGCCTGAATCTGGTCTACGGGTGAGGGACGTGCTCTGGGCTGCCATACCTCGCCGGCCTTGTGCGGCGGGCATCTCGGCACCACGTCCTGTGTGACTAGAGTCTCATGCGAACCGCGCCCGGACGCACCGTCTCGCTCTTCCCAGGCCTCCTGGCCAGGAGCTGGAGCCTGCCCTAGCCTGGCGCTCCATGTGCTCACGGAGATTCTGCCCCTGGGGCTCCATCTCTCATCCCCCTGCCCCCAACTGACGGCCTGGCTGCCGAGCACTTCCTGCAGCCTCTTCAATTCCTGCCCGCTGTGCTCATCCAGCCCCCCCTGCAGTCAGGACGGGCCACTTCTGTGACTGAAGACGCTACGGCTGTGTTGCGTCTCCGGGGGCACCGTGAACAGCAGACTTGGCCATCTCCTCCTAGGGTTGTCACTGTGGCTAGGTCAGCGCCACCAACCGTGCTGGACCTCATTTCTCTCTCAGCCTGCGGGGCCAAGACCTCAGTATCCGAGTCTGTTTCAAGCGTGACACCTTGATGGCTTCTTACAGTTAAACTCCATCAGCCTCACTCACGTACGAAATACAGTAATGTAAACATTCCTCTGGACACAAAAGTTATTGCAAACCCTTCCACCAAAAAGACCGGTCTGAGTGCCGGTGAGGGGCGAGGCGGGGAATTCTACCCCTCGGTTCAGTAAAGAAAAGCACGAATCAGTCCTTGGCCTCCGGGAACCCTTTGATACTGTGTCCACTGGGACTTCAAAACTGGTTTTTTGTGCATTAGGAGTGTAAGGAGAGCCATGCCAGGCATGGGGTTAGCGTTGGACGTGTCGTCTGTGCCTGAAGAACCTAAGCGGCATGCAGACATCACACGGGATCTCACAGTGCACCTTGCCTTGCTCTCGGAGGCTCTCGGCTGCGCCCCTCACCGGAGACTTTAAAAGCCATCCACGCAGCGACCACCTCTGAGGGCTGGCTGGACAGCCGTCCCTGCCAAGCCCTGTGCACGTATTTGCTTACACCATAAAAACCCTACACGGTAGGACACCGAGAAGCTTATGTGACGTGCTGGACGTCACATCATCTATAATAAACTTAAAATTTACTGAGTTACAGATAACAGTGAATGGTGGGTCTGGCTAAGAAAGACCAAAAAAAAGTTCGCTCTTCAACAGAAAGATGTTTGTGGGAGACGCCGTGGGAACGTTCACAGGGATGTGTGGAGCGGAAATATTTCCGTATGTAAGAAGCCCGTGAGTCTGACAGCGAGATGGCTGGTCTGTTGAGACCACGCAGAGATCACGGGGCCTGTACGCAGTCGGGGGCGGGGGCAGGTGGGAGATGATGCTGACACAGGAGTGTGGGAACGAAGCACCAGGTGAGTTGGAGAGCATCCGTTCACCATCTGATGAGAGTGTCTGCAGAAGGTGGGCCTGTGGGGAGGAACAGGTGTCGCCAAGAGTTTAAGTCAAAAAGCTTCTCCAGACTCTTGAGAGGAAATGCACAGCTCGTCAGCAGCAGGCAGGGAGTGAGGGAGAGTCAGCGGCAAACCCCTCAGCTCCGCACCGTGATGCTGAAACAGGGCATGGGCCAGAGGAAGCAAAGCAGAGTGCACGACCTCTCCCTCAGCTGAGGTGGGTGGTGACAAACGGATCACTTGCGTTCTGGGGAACGCTTGCAAAACAACTGTTTGTTTTTGCCCTAGGGACGATTTCTTCCCTCGAATCTGATGAAGGCACAGAACAAGGCAATATGGCTCTGAGAATAATAGCACATCGTCCTCCCCATTCTCTTGTGACGAAGACACAGCTACAGTGTTACTGGTGTCACAGTACTTGGATGACAGTAGACAGATGAGGGGACAATGAACTGAGCCATTCATTCTAGGAGAAACAAGGCTACGCGACCACAGCCTCTTGAGGCGGCTACTGGATTGTGGGAATAAACCAACGTCATCGTCATAGAAAAGGACGATTCTCTGTAGAATCACTGAGTCGTCTGAAAACGGCATGAGGTTAATTTGTTACAAATGAGAGCAGAGGGAGGTGAGAACCAGCCCTCTGCTCTGCTGCCCGTGAGGGTGACGTCGGATTCAGCAG